CGACCACTAGAGGGGGATATTTTGTTTCTTTTTTTCTTAGGTCAAGAAAGGTTCAGGGAAGGCAGGGAAAATACAGTCCAGGCAGTACCAGGCAGTCTGAAGACTGTCTCCCAATCCACTCTCTAAATGCTGGGAGGAGTGAGGAAGCAGACAGGCACCCTTTTCACTGGCCAACAGTTAACTGAAAGTTCACATTTTGCACTTTCCCTGCCTCCCACGTGGTTTTTTTTCAGTTCTTAACTCAAATCTAAGTATGTAAGTCAAGTCAATATTTTCCTATGAGTGGTTCTTAAGTCAAAATGACTTAACTCAAGCCGTTCTTAAGTCAAGACCCCACTGTAGAACTATTTTTCACATAGGGTTGTGCTTTGCAAAAAAAAAGAGAGGAATTTTTTTTCACTAAAAAAACTTTCTGCAAAAATTCGCAGTACAGCTTTTGACCATATATATGGTCAAAAGCTGTACTGCAAATTTTTGCAGAAAGCAAAATTTATATATATAAATGCATTGGTCTTTATGCTGAAAATTTTTACAACAGGTGATGGTGTTTTTGACAAGATGTCTCATTGTTGACATAATTTTTGTTTAGGTGAGAAAATTTGCAAATATTCATTACATGTTCCATGGAGAGGGAGGACAGAGGGATTCTTAGCAACATTTAAGAGGCTGCTTTCAGATATAGTAAAATAAAAAAAAAATGAACACACAAACGAACACACATTCATTGATGCTTCACAAATTTCGTCTTATAAAGTCCTATACCGAATTACCTTATTTGGACCTCTTGAATGAAAGTGTGGATCATAGTGTGCTGGTTTTGAGACTGTTGTGGCACAATCTTTGTCATTGTTTAAGGTTAACCACATGAATGTATGCATTTAAATAAATATTTTGAGAGAAATATAAATGTTTAAATGCATATTTTGGGGAAAAATGTACCTGAATACATATTCAGATTAATAGATAGTTCGATGAGTATTTGGGGAGAATTTATTTTTTAATTGCAAAACCAGAATGGAATTATTATGCCAAGGATGTAAAATGCAAATAGATTAAAAACACATTTGCCCATTTTCTTGATGCAGTTTGTAAACTGCAAGCACAGATGTATTTAAGAGCGTTTGTTGTGGTTGTCTTTTAATTTGTCAAAATATGTACAGTAGCATCAACAAAGATCAAATTAGGGAAGCGTAAGTGTTCCCTCTAGATTTTTCTTTTCATTACAAGGGAACATGGGCGAATCTATTAAAGATGCTTCAGAAACACCTATGGCATGGAATTGGTATGGGCCAAAAGGCAAGAAATATGGTGCTCTGTTGTCTGAGGCTGCATGAAAAGCCAGAAAAGCCCCCATATCTATGTTGGGCCAAACTATGTGAAAAGCTGATATCATCTATGTGTCCTATGGTACTTAGACAAAGCTGAAATTTGAATGCCCTGTCTTGGTTGACTGTCTAGACTGAATCCTGGTCTCTTCTCATAATGATCCTCTACTCCAAGCCCCCTGGCACATCCTGTGAGCCTGGGACTTTTTTCTCACTTTGGTATGTCTTTCTTTCTTTTGTATGCTGTACTTTTGTCCTTGAGCACTGCAAATTACTCCATTTCTGGTCCTGGACCTTGGGAAAGTAAAGATGTCTGGCTTGTGCTGGACTTCTTAGCAATTGCAGGACCTTAATCAGATTCTGTATGTCAGTT